CAACCTGACTGTTCCGTCTGGACGATCCTGAGTCGCATCAGAACGCAATTCCTGGGACTGCAACACCGCGAACCAACGTAATTGTTGCACCCTCATAATCCTCAATCATTCCCAAACATAATTTCTGGTACGCTGATCATGGGCCTCCGTGAAACTCTTGCAACTATTAAAAGCGAATGTGCGCGGCGCTCAGGCGAGAGCCACATTTTGAAAACGGGCCCCCCTCAATCCGTGCAGAACTCTTGCACATGTTATAAAATCGAATGTGCGCGGCGCTCAGGCGAGAGCTACATTTTGTAAACGGGCCGCCCTCAATCCGATAAGCTCTTGCAAATGTATAAACCGAATGTGCGCGGCGCTCAAGCGAGAACCACATTTCGAAAACGGGCCGCCCTCAATCCGTGCAGAACTCTTGCACATGTATAAGACGAATGTGCGCGGCGCTCAGGCGATAACGACATGCTGAAAACGGGCCGCACTCTGTGAAACTGACATTTGTGTTTAAGCTGCAGGGTCATAAGTGGTGAGGACGTCTCAGGCGAAACACCCGGCCCGCCCTAAAAACGGGCCTCGGGGTGCGACAGGGAGAAGTTACTTATAAGGAAAAGGAACAGAGGAGGAGGATGAAAAGGCCTAGGATGAGGAGCAGAAGGCGGAGGGCCACCGACGGCATCCTCCTCGCTCTGGTCCACCCGTCGGGCTGCCGCGCGCGCGGCGCGGCGGGCCACGCCGCCCGCGATGACCGCGCTGTTGCCTCCGGGGCGCGCGGGGGCGCCCGAGCGTGTCCGGGTTTCTGCGGCCGGCTGTGGCGACAGCCTCCTCCTCTTCCCTCCTCCTCTTCCCTCCTCCTCCTCCTCTTCCTCGTCCTCCTCCTCTTCTTCCTCTTCTTCCTCTTCCTCCTCCTGTTTCTTCTCTTTTTTAAACGTTCGGCAAACATGAGGCGTGGCCTGTCACATTATGAGATGGTGCAACAATAACATCGCCGACTTAGCCGAAATGGGCAACAAATTACGCCTGGCTGACGCAGTAGAAGAGGTCATGCAATGAGAGCAGGCAAAGACACTGGGCTCTCAGGGGCACAAAGTATGCGCCAGTCAGGCAGTTTGAAAGGAGGAACGACCGATCGAGTCAAAGCTAAATAACCTTAGTGTTCCTCCAGACCCAACCATCCCCAAACTATCCACCTCCCAAGACCCTCCAGATTGATGCGATCGTCTGCCGAAAGCTGGGCGGCGAGTAGCAACGTAAATCAAAGTTAACGGCACAGGCGGCTTCAGGGGCAACTGAGATGTAAGCGCGCCTTGGCTGGCACGTGTAGGCTGGCCTGGTAGCAACTGGATCTGGAGTCCAACTGCACGAAAAGGAAGCGTAAGAACTGCAACTGCTATAGTCATCCCCCTGACCACCATCCGAACCACGAACCACCTGCCAGTGCCCCAGAAGAACGAACATAGCCTAGGCTAGGCGAGCTGCAAGAAAATAGCAGCAACAGAGCAAGCGAATGCAGAGATGACTGAGGTGGGTTTTTAGGCTGGCCCTGTAGGCTGGCGTGTGGTGCTTAAGCGTGGCCCGTACTGCAAGCAGCTGTAGAGCACAACTCTGGGCGAGCTTAATCTTCGTGTGGCAGCACGGCCATGAAGGGAGGTAGGTTGGGGTACGAGCTGCGAGTTGGAGACCACCGTGGGAAGTGGCTTCCCCTCCCGTAAGCTAAACTGGCTCAGGCAGCCGACAAAACACATTAATCGTAGGTAGCGCAAGTGGGACCTGACAGCTTGTACTACAGGGGCCGCGCCCTGTCTCCTGTCTCCCACGGGCCTGAAAGATTGCAGTGCTCCTCCTGCCACCAAACCTCGGTCCTCCCCCTATGAAAACCAGTCCCCCAAATAGAAGCGAACGTAGCCTAGGCTAGGCGAACCCTAAAAGAAATAACATTGACAGGGCAAGCGACTGTAACCCGAGGTGAGTTGTTAGGCTGGCCCTGTAGGCTGGCGTGTGATGCATAATCATGGCCTGTATGGAAGCTGTATGTTGAAGCTGTGGGTAGATTTAAGACCTGGACTAACGGCTGGAGGTAAGATGGGTGCGCGAAGCAAGAACTGGAGTTAAGAGGGGCCTGAACGATAGCAATGGGCCTCCTGCCTCTATAATCTCTTCATACCCCCCCTTCCATTTATCAAGAAAGCCAGATGTACCGACAGTCGATGCTAAAGTTGCGCGTGAGCTGTGAAAGAGAGCGCAAGCGTGGCGGCTGTTCTTGTGCTGGGACCCAGGGTTTCACGGTTCGCCCCGAACCTCAAGTGCCCCAGGGCCCTCGCGTTCTGTTGTAAACTATGTTCGGGTTCAGCACGGGCCCTTAGCACACTTGTAGGCTGACATATCTCGCAAAGCGCTGGCGCGGTTACGACATGCGAAGCTTAATCAATAACCTATGAAGACATATACTGCGGGCTGTAAATGATGGGGCTGAACGGTAAGGGCGTCCCCCTCCTCCACCGAACAACCAGCCACCAATCCCCACCCCCCACAGCCAAACAGTAAAAAGGGCAGGCAACGACGACAGACTAAACGCATGCAGCGCGATGATGCGCGGGGAGACGAGGCGCAGCGGAATCCCCCTTCCCCAACGCGGCCCATCAGCAAGCGGCAGCGACCCAGGAGGAGGAAGCGGAGCAGGCGCTGCACCGAGCCAGCGCCATACCGAGGGGCACGCGCCTGGCATCCCCCTCTCACCTCCCCCCCGCGGGGGGGAAGGCACCTGTGGGGGAGGAGGGACCAGCGGACCAGCGGAGCGGAAAAGGTGGGAGCAGAGAGGAAGGACAAACGACAGCAGGGGATCCATTGGGCAAGCTCCTGCTCAGCGGGCACATAGAAACGCATGTGAAGCAAGCGGATGGGGTGAAAAAGACAAGTAGGCCATCGCGGCCGCGGGGGGGGCACGTCAACAGAGACAGAGCTGAACGCAAGCAAAATGTGCGAGGAGAGGGGTGGCAAAACAGACGTCCTCGTCCTGCGGCACTTGATGTTCGGAAAGCCGTTGATACGGGGGGCGCGAGGTCGTAAACTCGCCCAAGTATCCTCCGCATCTACGCAATAGGTGGGAAACTTCCCCTATTGGAAATCGATGTACGGGTAGAGATTGATGGCTTCGTGGGAATCGAGTACTAGCCACAACAGTCTCCACCGTCTGCGCGGCGTGTAGGGAACCTTGGTTTAGGTGTATGCAGAGCTTTGTGGTCGGGTGTAGGGAACCTAGGCTTGGGCAAAGTCGGTGCTGCCAGTGCTGTCGTAACTATGTGGCGCTGCTGCGATTCTCTGCTGCGCATGCTGCGTTGTCGCACTTCTTCCAGATATTGTAGGCGCTGCTGCTGGTGGTTTCGAATTGTGTCCAAGTGCTGTAGGAATCGCTGTCGCTTAATGAGCTCTGGACCTCGTCTTCGAGGGTCCTGATCGCTAACGCGCGCTCCCTTTTCCGGTCGCTGGTGAGACGCTGCTCCTCCTGCTGAACCCTTGCGCGCGCCTCGCGCCGCCGCGACATCTTGGACCGCGGAGTCCAGCGGCCTCGGCGACCCGCGTCGAGCGACGCGCGGTAGATGCGCAGCCTGTCGCAGCTGGGTCCGCCGCGCCGCAGCTCGCACAAGATGTAGAGGCGCCCCACTGATCTCGTCGACCTGAGCCTTCTTGAAGAGGCGAATGATCGCGCGGCCCGACGCCTTGAAGAGCGGCGCCGTCGGGACCCCCTTTCTTCAGCATGCTCAGCGCAGGGCCGAGCCGCACGGCGCCTTCGCTGTCCAGGAGGGCGGGCTCGCCCGGGAGCCCGACCTCGGAGGTCTCCCGGCGCTCCGACGCGCGCAGGCTGAGCGCGCACAAGGCCACGACCCTCCGGATTCCACCGGGCCGCTTTCGCGGACCTTGCCCGGCTCGCGCGGCCCGCGGTAGCCGAAGCACGATCCACAAGGCGGCGTCGGCGCCGCGCTCGCGGAGGACCTGCGGCGCCATCGCCGCCGCCCGCCCCCGGCCGACGGGCGGCAGCGCCACCCCCGGCTCGAGCTTGGCCCAGCCCCGCAGCGCACGTCATGGACGCGGCAGTTTGGCCCGGCCTCGCGCAAACTTTGCGTTGAAAAACGAATAGCTCACAAAGGCCTCATGCGCCCAGCTGTGGCCCATCCCCACGCCGTGCCCGACGTCAGCGCAGGCCGCGAGCAGTGCGTCGCCAGGGTCGACCATGTCGAACTTTATCCTCTTCACCTGGGCGAGTGCCGCGATGTCCTGGCACCTACGTGCGCAATCCTTCACGGTCGCCTGGCTCGAGGAGTTGATCCCCTAGGAAGCCGGCGCCCTGCCGCAGAGCGCCTGGGTTGGTCTCCTGAAAGGTCGCCCTGCGAGCTCGACGGCTCGTTGTACGTTGCGCCCCCGCCTGGGCCGCGGCGGCGTTCTGAGCCCCGATGACGAGAGAAGCCGTCGCAGCTGCCGGCCTCTTCTTGTCCAGCAAGCCTGAAGAATATGTCGGGCCTGGCATGTAGGCGGCCCGTGAAATGTCGACTGTTGGAAACGGAAAAAGCTGAGACTTTGCCCCCCACAGCCTCGATCAGAAGTCGGCCGAGTTGAACTCGGAAGGTATCCATTGGTGCCAGAAAGACGAGTCGCCCCCAATGGCCAAACACGCAGTTTTTCGACAACAGACCAGGACCCCGAAACTCAAACTGCGGCTCTTTGCCAAGGCCAGGGCGGTGCCCATATTGACAACCAGATCGAGATGTGTCTTCGCGTGTTAGCGACGGCACGAAGCTTGCATCATGCGGAGGCGACAACCCCCCCGAGTTCCCGAGGGATCCCACATACGCGCTGCAAACGCGTGATCCCAGGAATTTCCGTATGGTAGATGACGTGGTACTTCTGGAAATTCAGGATTGCCCTCTAGTTCTTCCCATATCTCAGGGCCCCCTATCGAGGTCTAGCAATAAAGAGATCGCGAAAGATATTAAGGCAAGGTGAGGCGCGTTTTCGGGTCCGATAGGCGATATGCCCCCAATCGGTTTCTATGTTTTGAATATCCCGCGGGCGGGCGCGACGTCCTCGGACTTCCACGCTGCCGAGCACGCCGCGATGCCCGTCTAGCTGGCGTCGGATGACGTTACATCCGCACTCCCGGCGCACCTAAAAAAAGATGGCGACGCCACTGAGAGGGCAGCGTGCCACCTCGCCTCTCGCTCGGCAGCAGGCCAGAAACAGGCCCGCTTCGGCCCAAGAGCAGCAGCAGCAAAATCGCACAGCGACCGGAGCACCCTCAACAGCTCCCTCAGAAGAAGAAAATGACTCCGACTTTAGGACCCCGCATGAGAATCGATTGCCCCTCGCACTTTTCCTCTTCGACAAGCGCAGACCCTCCTCCCGCTTCTGCGTCCTCCTGATCCTCAACCATCATCATCGTCCTTCTCGCCCCCATAGGGAGGGGGCTTCTGCCTGAGACTTCCTCGTGATTCGCTCACAGACGAGGCTCCCGTCTGAGACTTCCTCTATGTTCAGGCCTGGGGAGCCCGAAAGTGATAGCCGTTACAGGATTTGGATGGCCCGCTCGGATTCGAACATGAAGTGCGGGCCCCATAGGGCTGCGCTCCCGCCGAAACTTCCTCGCGATTCACTCACAGACGAGGCACCCGTCTGAGACTTCCTCTATGTTCAGGCATGAAGAACCCCAAAGTGACAACAGTTACAGGAATTGGATGACCAACTCGGATTCGAACATGAAGTGTTGGCACCATTGGGGGGGGGGCTCCCGCCAGAGACTCCCTCGCGATTCACTCACAGACGAGGCTCCCGTTTGAGACTTTCTCTATCTTCAGGCTCGAGGAGCCCGAAAGCGACGACAGTTACAGGATTTGGGTGACCAGCTCGGATTAAAACATGAGGTGCGGGCCCCATAGGGAGGGGGCTCCCGCCTGAGACTTGCCCGCAATCCACTCACCGACGAGGCTCCCGTCTGAGACTTCCTCTATGTTCAAGACTGAAGAGTTCAACAGCGACGACCGTTACAGGATTTGGATGGCCCGCTCAGAATCGAGCACGAACTCCGGGCCGCATAGGGAAGGGACTCGCGCTGGAGACTTCCTCGCGATTCACTCACAGACGCAGCTCACGTCTGAGACTGCATTTATGTTCAGGCCTGAGGAACCCAGCAGTGACAACAATTACAAAATTTGGATGACCCTCTCGGAGTCAAACATGAAATGCCCCATAGGGAGGGTCCTCGCGATTTATTCACAGACGCAACTCACGTCTGAGACCTCCTCTATTTTCACGCTTGAGGCGCCCAAAAGCGACGACAATTACAAGATGTGGATGACCCGCTTGGATTCGAACATGAAGTAAGGGCCCCATAAAGGGGGGTCCCGCCTAAACGTCCTCGCGATTCACGCACAGACGCGGCTCCCGTCTGAGACTTCCTTTGTGTTCAGGCATGAAGAGTCCAAACATGACGCGAATTATATTGTTTGGATGACCCGCCTGGGTTCGAACATGAAGCGCGGGCCACTAAGGGGGGGGTCCGCCTCAGACGTGCTTTCGATCCACTCACCGACGAGGTTCCCGTCTGCGATTTCCTCTATGTTGAGGTCTGCGGAACCCAACAGTAACGACAGCTACAAAATTTGGATGACCCGCTCGGATTCGAACGGGAAGCGTGGGTCCCGCCGGAGGCTTCCCCGCGATTTATTCACAGACGCAACTCACGTCTGAAACTTTCTCTATTTGCAAGCTCGATGGGCCCGAAAGCGACGACATTTACAGGACTTGGGTGACCCGCGCGGATTCGAGCGTGAACTACGGGCCCATGAGGGGTGTTCCCGCCGAAACGTCCTCGAGATTCACTCAAAGACAAGGTTCCCGCCTGAGACCCCCTTTATGTTCAGGCTTGAGGTGCCTAAAAAAGACGACAGTACAAGATTTGGATGGCCCGCTCGGATTCGAACATGAAGTGCTGGCACCATAAGGCGGGGTTCCCGCCTGATACGTTCTCGCGATTTACTCACAGACGAAACTCCCGTCTGAGGCTTCCTCTATGTTCAGGCATGAAAAAGCCCAAAGAGCAACGACGGTTACAAAATTTGGATGACCCGCTCGGATTCGAACATGAAGCGCAGGCCCCATAATGACAGCTTGTGATGAACAAATCCGTGGGGGGCGCGCGTTTTAAAAAATAGTTTCCCTGCTCGGGCGAATCGCGGGGTGGCGCCCGCCAGATTGAAACAACGGGGCGGCGCCGGTGATTAGCGCCGACCCCCGGCCGCCAACCACGGGCAACGGGGGGGGGATTGGAGGCAGCGGCGAGCCAGGGCGCCCCTCTTTCTGTCGAACCGATGCGGGCCTGCGGGCAAGGCGGGCAGGACAAAAATGAGGCGCACCAAGTGGGGGATTTGCCAAGAAGCTCACATCGCCCATTTTTCCAAGCGCCTCCTAACGCCGAAAGCGGCCATGCGTCCTTCGGCGGAGCGACCGAAACCAGCTGCGCGCAGCAGGATGTGTACCCCTCCCTTTCTCTCCCCAGCCTTTCGTCCGACACGAACAAAGCGGGTAGTCCTCCTCCCCCCCTTCTGTCGCCGTCGTCGCCGCCGTCCCCCGCCCTGCCTGTGCCCGTTTCCAACGGCCGCTCTCTTCGTCGCTCGTTCCTCCTCCTCTTCCTCCTCCTCCTCCTCCTCCTCCTCCTCCTCCTCCTCCTCCTCCTCCTCCTCCTCCTCCTCCTCCCTCTCCTCCTCCTTTTCCTCGTTCTCCCTCCCCCTCCTCTCTCCTCCTCCCCCCTGGCGCGCGTGATCCCAAAAGAATATCGCGCCCCGCGGGGTCTATTCATCAGCCCCGGGGGGGCGTTGGTCCGCTCATTTGTTAAGAACAAGCTGACATTAAGGGGGGGTCCCGCCTGAGACTTCCTCGCGACTGACTCACTGACGAACCTCCCGTTTGAGGCTTCCTTTTTTTTGCTCAGGCCTGAAGAGCCCCAAAGTGACGACAGCTATGGGATGTCGATGACCCGCTTGGACTCGAACGTGAAATGCGGGCCACATCGGGAGGGGGCTCCCGCCTGAGACTTCATCGCGATTCATTCACAAGTGTTGGTGAATGGTGATGGGCTGATGATGATGGTGATGGTGGGTGATGAGGATGATGATGGCGATGATGTTGGATGTTGACGATGGTGATGGTGGGTGATGGGTGGTTGAGCGAGAAAGTGAGCGGGTGATCATGCTGACCCATGATCATGACGGGATGGTGATGACAGGAGGGTGTGAGGTGCGAGATTCCTGCGCGGAGGCGTGCAGAGAAAGCAAAAACCCGATTCCGGATGTGGGGAACAATGGACGATGTAACCGAGGAGCTTCTGAACTTGCTCGCTAGATACCCCTCGGGCGGCTCGACAAACATAGACGTGCCTGTCGAAGCCTCTCTTATCGATCAGGTCGACACTCTATAACCCCGCCATCCCCGTCGATGCGTCACCCGAGACTCTCCGCAATCGCATCCGCATCCGCCCCCCGATGCACCCTGGATCCGGCCCTCCTCAACAGCTCCTCAACAGCTCGCGCGCGCGCCCTCCTTCACCTCCTGGACCGCGTCCGCGCCTGAGCCCATCGCCTTAAAATTGTTGCGGCATGGGGGGAAAGCGACATGCTCGCCCGAGAGTGGAGGCTGGGCATCGACGCGACGCACAACAAAGAAAAACGCCCCACGTCAAGAGCAATCCGGATCTGACGTCCATGGAGTTCCCGAACCAACCAAAACGCACAGTTCCACACCATTGGTACTGCAGTCAGCCTCGGCCACGTACGATCGCCCCAAAACCGCCCCCTTCAAATCGCAGAACCAGGCACCCCCAACTCTCGCAGGAGGCACTCCGCCACAGGCGACAGGCTGAATAAGTCCCGCAGGGCAGGCAAGTTGCCCAGCGAGTAAAAACCGTCCTCGACATCCGCCGTGGCGACAAACAGCCACTCGGGAGTTGACCGACAGCGCCATCCTTGCCCGTGCGTCGGCCACTTGCGCCCCCGTCTGTCTCGACAGCGGCCGACGAAAGCGAAGTTCTGCCAAACGGCAACCCCAAACCCACAATAGCTTGCGGCTGTTCTTCGCGAGCAAGAACGAGGTCGCGACGTCCCCAGGAACGCCCGCGAACTCCAGCGCGCCCCGATCCTGGGAGGCCTCGGACGAATGGGTGGCACAGCTTGCTCTTGTTCGGTAAACTGATGCCCATGTATGGGGCGGGCAATCTCATTCTTCTCATCGGTGTGACCATGCTCATCAGGGTCATATGCTGCTTGGCCCCCTCGACTACACTAGCGCTGTCATCGTCCAGGAAGTCCGGGACGTCAGGGGCCCGGGAGCCAACTTCGGGAATGGGCGCCAACTCCCGGTCTTAAGGCCGAACCGCGCCACTCGCCCCCTCGCCCAGCACGCACGAGCGGCTGGAACCCAAAAGGTCGCGAGCGGCTCCACGGCGGGCACGCGTAATAGAAGAGCGAGTTGCACGCGAGACCTGCGAGAGCACTGCGCGCTGAGCAGCGCCCTGCCGAGGGCGACGACGCCGCCGAGAAAGGGGCGGGATACGTCTCGTTCAGACTTGCGATGGCCTTGTTCGCGGCCCCCGCTGCTGCCCGACGTCTCGCCCGATGCCACTTCGCCGAGCGCGAGGGGCCTGGCAACGCTTGCTCGACAGCGGGAAGAACAGGGAGAGGAAACAGCTCCAGCCGACGATCACCCGGGCGGCGCGCGCAACACTTGCTGCCGAGGAAGCCGATGGCGACCCGCGTGGCGTCCTGCAGCAGACCCAGCATGGTCCCGAACATGGGATGGGCCTAGGTCCCAATGCTCGGCTGCGCACTGCACCCCTACGCCTGCTGGCCACCGCCAGAAACCTTGTCGTCGCCGCCGCGGCCGAGCCGCGCCTCCTTGTCGGGCCTTGCGCAGCTCCTTCGCCACCATCGTCTCGGTCTGGAGAATGGTGACCGCGTGCTCGGACAAGGCAAGAACCACCATGACGCCGAAGCGGCGCGAGTTTCACCCCATGAAATGGCCCGCAGCGGACTAGTCGGGCAAAACCGGAGAAGTCTGATGAGCCAGTTCAGTCAACGGCAGCCTGCCACGGATCATCTTCGTCGGACGAAGGGCGGGGGTGTTCAATTGGTCGACGGAGACCACATTGTCGATCACGCGACACAGAACCTCATATCCATACACTGACCTGTCGCCCGTGGCCACGCCAGCACAGCGAAGCCAGTGTTCATGCCTCACTATCGGCGGCATGCCCTGCCCTCGTCCCTCATCGACTGAATCAGCCATGTGGTCGTCCGAGGGCCGGTGGGCCCGAGGCCACCTCCTGATTCGTCAACCACTCTGACCTCCACCGCCTCGCTGAACGCGCTGCGCCTGTTTCCCGTCGAACCGACCTCACCGGCAAGACGCGGAGGTCGTCATTCGAAAACCTCCAGCTCGCTCCTCGGGATCTGGCGCACGAGCCGCTGGCCACCGGGAGCGTCAATGATGCCACGCGTGCCCGAAATGACAACGTTGTCAGGCATTTCCTTGATATCGTCACCCTTGCGGCTGTCGCCGCTCTATTCGGCGGCGACCCACGCGTGGCCCGGCACTGGGGGCGGCGCGGCCGCCTGGCAGCGCCTGGCATGCCCGCGGGGCCGCGGCCGACACCGCCGACCACCACGTTGGGGCCGCGCCGCCTCGGCACCACCTGGCCACCCGGCGGCGCCGCGGGGGGGCCCACCGGCTGCGCGCCGACCAGCAAAACCCCGTCGCGGAACAGCTGCTGCGACTTGTCGCGGTCGGGCTCAGCTGGGACTTGGTACGCCCAATCAGCGCGCACCCCTGGGGGCATAGTGCCCTGGCAGCCTGCCCACCTCCCTGCCAGGAGTACCTGCTTCTCGGCCATCAGCTCGATGTCGTAGTGGTCGCCGTACGTTGCGTATACCGCGTACAGGCCGGGGGTGGCTGTAGACGCTGCCCTGACGAGATGCTCGCGCCAGAGATCAGCACCTGGTGCATCGTATCGCGCCCGAACATAATCTCCAAGACGTGCCGTCACTTGCGCACGAAGTCAAACTGGGCCCTCGCCTGAGCCGCAAAGTCCTTGACGTCACCGGCAGCCGCACCTGACTGACTTCGCCCGATGCAGAATCCTAGCCCGATGCCTATGACGAGCTGGATCACCAGCAGCACGAACAGCAGCCCGAACTCTATGCAGTATTTCCCGTCCACAGCAAGGTTTGCAACTGGGGTCGCCGCGACTGGAAGGCTGAGGTTACACAGGAGTATGGATACGGCGGGTAGCTCGGACACGCTCGGACAACTGGACACTGGATGCCGCTCTGGATCTGGGAGAGCAAGAAACAGTTTCCTGCGAATCGAGCGGCCTCTCGCCTTTCGTACAGTGTCTCTGAAGGTATCAAGTTCCAACACACCCATCAACGAATTGGCGAAAAGTTCTGAACTCGAGAAAACTACTGACTGCAACCTGGCGCTCAATGGCTTGCTATTCCCCACTAAGACGCGCGCACAAATCATATCACGTCGTCGCCGTCATCACCATCATCATCATCATCATCATCATCATCATCATCATCATCATCATCATCATCATCATCATCATCATCATCATCATCATCATCATCATCATCATCATCATCATCATCATCATCATCATCATCATCATCATCATCATCATCATCATCATCATCATCATCATCATCATCATCATCATCGTGATCAGCATGATCAGCATCATCATCATCATCATCATCATCATCATCATCATCATGATCATCATAATCAGCATCATCCTCATCATCATCATCATCATCATCATCATTATCAGCATCATCATCATCATCGTCGTCGTCATCATCATCATCATAATCATCATCAACACGATCATCATCATCATAATCATCAGCATCAGCATGATCATCATGATCAGCATCATCATCACCGTCATCATCACCATCATCATCATCACCATCGTCATCGTCATCGCCATCATCGTCATCAACATCACAATCAGCATCAACATCACCATCAGCATCATCATAACCAGCATCATCACCATCGTCATCACAGCCATCACCATCATCATCATGATCGTCATCTTCGTCCTCATCATCATCATCGTCATGATCGTCATCCTCATCGTCATCATCACCATCATTACCATCATCATCAACATCATCACCATCATCATCATTATCATCATTACCATCACCATCACCATCCTCATCATCATCAGCAGCATCAGCATCATCATCGTCGTCGCCATCGCCATCGCCATCGCCATCATCATCATCCTCATCATCAGTATCACCACCCCCATTATCATCACCATCACCACCACCACCACCACCACCATCATCATCATCATCATCATCATCATCATCGTCATCATCAACAGCATCATCATCATCATCATCATCATCATCATCATCATCATCATCATCATCATCATCATTAGCATCAGCATCAGCATCAGCATCAGCATCAGCATCATCATCACCATCAGCATCATCATCCTGATCCAACTCGGCCTCCCCCGATCCCTTCCAATGAAGGGGAAATGGGAGGGCAAATCATCCTGATAAGGCCATGTGCACTTGTGAGTAACGCAGCTGTGGGTATCGTTCTCGGTGAACCTCTCTGGGGCCACGACGCATGTAACGGGTGTGCCAAAGTTGGCACGGGTACGCCATACGGGCGCTGCCACGGGAGCTGGAGCCCCATGTGGCCACGAAACGTGTATTGGAGGCGCCGAAATGCAGGGTGGAACCACGTGCGGGCGCTGCCACTGGGGCCTTTGCCGGAGCTCCCTATGGGGCCACGAAACGTGTGAGGTGTGCGCCGAAATCTAAGGTGGAACAACATGCTGACCCTGCCACTGGGGCCTTCGGTGGAGCACCATACGGGGCCACGAAATGTGTGATGGGGGCGCCCGATTGGGGGTGGAACTGCATGTGGACCCTGCCACTGGGGCCTTCGGTAGAGCACACTCTGGGGTCACCGCGTGCGAGGGGTGCGCCGAAATGAGGGTGGAACCGCATGCTGACCCTGTGGAACACTCTATGAGGCCACGAAGCTTGTGAGGGGTGCGCCGGAATGGAGGTGGAACCTGCCTCTGGGGCCTTCGGCGGAGCACCCTACGGGGTCACGAAACATGTGAGGGGTGTGCCGAAATGGAGGTGGAACTGCATGCTGACCCTGCCACTGGGGCCTTTGGTGGAGCACCCTATGGGGCCACGAAACGTGTGATGGGTGCGCAGGAAAGGAGGTGGAACTTCATGCGGACCCTGCCATTGGGGCCTTCGGTGGAGCACCCTACGGGGCCACGAAACGTGCGACGGGGGCGCCCGATTGGGGGTGGAACTGCATGTGGACCCTGCCACTGGGGCCTTCGGTAGAGCACACTCTGGGGTCACCGCGTGCGAGGGGTGCACCGAAATGAGGAGGGAACCGTATGCTGACCCTGTGGAACACTCTATGGGGCCACGAAGCGTGTGAGGGGTGCGCCAGAATGGAGGTGGAATTTCATGCGGACCCTGCCACTGGGGCCTTCGGCGGAGCACCCTACTGGGCCACGAAACATGTGAGGGGTGTGCCGAAGTGGAGGTGGAACTGCATGCTGACCCTGCCGTTGGGGCCTTCGGTGGAGCACCATATGGGGCCACGAAACGTGTGAGGGGTGCGCCGGAAAGAAGGTGGAACTTCACGCGGACCCTGCCACTGGGGTCTTCGGTAAAGCACACCATGGGGCCACGAAACGTGTGAGGGGTGCGCCGAAATGGAGGTGGAACTGCATGCGGACCCTGCCACTGGAGCCTCCAGTGGAGCACCCTACGAGGCCACAAAACGTGTGAGGAGTGCGCCGAAATTAAAGTAGAACCGCATGCGGACCCACCCACTGGGGCAGTCGGTGGAGCTGCTTATGGGGCCACGAAACGTGTGAGGGGTGCACAAAAGTGGGAGTGGAACCGCATGCGGACCCTGCCACTGGGGCCTTAAGTGGAGCTCCCTAAGGGGGCCACGAAACGTGTCAAGGGTGTGTCGACATTGGTGGATATGATAGTGATGATGACGGTGATGGCGATGGTGGTGATGAGGACGGCATTGATGATGACGATGATGATGATGATGATGATGATGATGATGATGATGATGATAATGATGATGATGATGATGATGATGATGATGATGATGATGATGATGATGATGATGATGATGATGATGATGATGACGATGATGATGATGATGATGATGGTTATGCAGATGATTATGCTGATGATGATGGTGGTGGTGGTGATGAGATGATGGTGATGATGGTCATGATGATGCTGCTGCTGATGATGATGATGCAGGTAATAATAGTGAGGATGATGCTGATGATGATGATGATGATGATGATGATGATGATGATGATGATGATGATGATGATGATGATGATGATGATGATGATGATGATGATGTGATGATAGGAGGAGATGGGAGGAGGAGGGAGGGAGGAGGCGGGAGGAAGCAGGCGGGAGAAGAATGCGGGGCGTTGTCTCTTCAAAACGAGGACCCCCAACACCATAGGACGGCTGGGAACTAGAGAGATGGAGGCGCAGGAAGAGATGGATGAGAAGTGCGCGAAGGGGCGGCGAGGAAGCGGAGGCAGGGGGAGGAGGAGGAGGAAGGGAGGAAGGGAGGAAGGCGGAAGGACCAGGCAGGAAAGGGAGGAGGAAGGAGAAGGAGGGAGCAGAGGCTCGGCCAGGAAGCCAGGAGGCAGAGCGGGGGCCGAGATCGGCACGGGCGCTCGGCCAGCCCGCCCGAGCGCCACAACGCCCCGGTGGCCTCTGCGCCCGCACGGCCGGCGCGCGCTCAGTCGTACTGCTGGGGGAGCACCACCTCCTCCCGCAACCCCGTGTCGAGGTGACCCGGATGATGCGCCCTCGCGCTCACCCTCTTGAGAAGAGGGCAAAAGATCCAACCCCATAATCCGCCGGCCCCCTTGTGGAGCCACCAGGCTGCAGGCATAAGGTCCGCAGTTTCCCGTGCCAGTTGCAGCTTCCAGTTTGAAATGTTACGGTTCTGCTTCTTGCTGCTTACTGTTCCTTGTTGACTTCTTGCGGCTTACTGTTTCTTGTTGATGGACCGCGCGAGGGGGGGAGGCCCAAATCGAGCATTTGTACCACGCCCTGGGAGGGTTCTCAGAATTTCTGGGGTGGGTGAAAATTAAAACCCCTCACGCAGATCGGCGGGGTCAGGGTCCAAAAACACATGGGATTTGCCACATTTCTGAAATTCGGCGGCACCCCTCACGCAGATCGGCGGGGTGAGGGTCCAAAAACACATCGGATTTGCTACATTTCTGAAAGTCTGTGGCACCCCTCACGCAGATCGGCGGGATGAGGGTCCAAAAACACACCGGATTTGCGACATTTCTGACATTCGGTGACACCCCTCACGCAGATCGGCGGGTTGAGGGTCCAAAAGCATAAGGGATTTGCTACATTTCTGAGATTCGGTGGCACCCCTCACGCAAGTCGGCGGGGTCAGGATCCAAAAACACAAGGGATTTGCTACATTTCTGACATTCGGTGGCACCCCTCACGCAAATCGGCGGGGTCAGGGTCAAAAAATATACGGGATTTGCAACATTTTTGAAATTCGTTGGCACCAACCAAACTTCAGCGGCACCCCTCACGCAGATCGGCAGGGTCAGGGTCCAAAAACACATGGGATTTGCCACATTTCTGAAATTCGGCGGCACCCCTCACGCAAATCCGTAGGGTCAGGGTCCAAAAACACACGGGATTTGCCACATTTCTGAAATTCGGCGGCACCCCTCACGCAGATCCGTAGGGTCAGGGTCCAAAAACAAACAGATCCCGACACTGCTTCACGGCGGCGCCCAGACCTCATGATTTAGCTTTTGCATCTCCCATTATCCGAGACGGGGCCGGCGGCATGGGGCGAAGCCCTCACAGATAACCACCCCGACACGCGAAGCCGTTTACTAAGCGCCCCCACTGAAAGAATCGGACAGGGCAGGGCTGTTCAGTGAACGCCCAAGGCCGTTTAGTAAGCGCCAATGGTCCGGTCCGGGTGATTCTTCCTCCCTTGATTGAGGGGGAGCGTTACGGCTGGCGCTGCAAAGAGGGCGTGCGGCAGCCATCTCCCGAGAGCACGCCGTCCCTGCGAGGCGATCCCCCCCCGCGAGGGCCCCTTCTGCGCACGCGGGCCCCCTGCGAGGGCCTCGTCGGTGCACGCTGTCCCCCTGGCAGGGCTTCCTGGGTGCAAGCTGCAGTCGGGCCGCTGAAACCAGGAACGCCAACTGAGGAACGGAGCCCCTCTCAGGTCCCAAAACCGCCTTCGCTCACGAGGAGGGCTGGAAAAACAGCCATGGAAGGACCTGAAGAACGTCCAGCCCCTTCCGGATCCAATCCTTCTTTCAGCGTCTTGACTGGGTCCCCAAGGTGGAGGGCAGCGTGCAACAAGCGGGCCGGCGGCGCCATATCGCACGCTGCCTCTGCGACGCCGACCGCAGGGGGAGGATAGCCCCCAAAACTATCCCGACTGTGTGGTGTCTCCACCCGGCCGTCGTTCCTCGATGGCCGGCCTGGGTGGCCCGTCATCGGGCCCTGGGACCAACAGAAATGAATCTGGGCCAAAAAAGATACCCCTGGGATGAGGGCTCGGGACCTCTGGGGCCGCGCATTGAAAAGACCACGTCTTCGGATGGGGGCGGGAGACGTCGACCTGGAATCGGAGAGACATCGCCGATACGTCGGCGACAGGCCCCTGATAGCCCATCCGCACATTCCTGGGCCAGGCAGCCCATCGGGCCCCTATCGGCGATCCAAAGGCGATTCGGGGGCAATGCATCCCCCTGACCACCTACCAGACCACCCCAACCTAACCCGAAGTCCCAAATTTCGGGTTGGGCGGCGTACTGGTTCCATCCGCATTCTGTCCCATGTTCCGGGATGTCCCCCCACTGGGCATGGAGGGCGACTTGGGGCCCTCGGGTTGGGTTGGGGTGGCTCGATGGGCAGTGCCCCCCCCCTATGAGAGCCCATCACCCCTATGGACGCTGCCCCGGACCTCTGGCCATGGGCAGACAGCCCCCTCCAAATGGCGTCCGGGATGACCCGCCGCGGCGCGAGGTGATCCTCCGTGCCCTCCGTCAGGTCTGCGTACCAGCCCGCCAGGAACTCCGCGTTCGGGAAGTGGCGCGGCTCTCGGAGGAGGGCCCACTGAGACGACGGCGGCTCTCCGGCGATCAAAACCCTTCTCAGGACCTCTCCTGTTAGGTCGGGCATGTCCTCCTACAGGCGGATTCTGGACGAAACATCAAAAACAGCCAAGAAGAACATGCAACAATTGCCGGAAACAGTCGAAAGATCATCCCCATACTATTTTTGTTGGGCGGGTAGTGGAACGCGCTCGGCGATTTTCGCAAGGCGGATCAGGCCGCGGCAGCGAGAAGCCTCCCTGGAGGCCCCAGAAGGGCGACGAACGCCAAGGACGGCTGCCCTTGTCTTGACTGGCCCTCCTCCGAGGCTCCGACCGTTGGTTCGGCGACCCGGCGTGCCAGACCCGGAGGTCGCGCATCACCGCGTCCCCGGCGCGCAACGGGCACACGAGGACGCGCGATAGGCCCAGCTCCTCCAGCATGGCCGTCTCGCGATGCACTGCCACCCTGTCCAGCCGGTAGGGCTGCGTGTGAGTGGCCGGGACCAGCCGCATGCGCGGATGAAGAAGAACAGCACAAGCATAAGCTTTCGGAGCTCCGCGCTGGTCTGTCGGATCGGCGCTGGACCCCCTCCCTGTCGCGCCGCCGCGCCCAACGCGCGCAAGGGGCGGCGCCAGAGGCGTCGCCATGGGGGGCCCCAACGCCGATCCAAGAAATCCGCACGGAGCTCCGAAAGTTCATGTATATGGAATTGTTCTTTTCTTCGAATGTGCCCGCCCCCGCACTCGATGTCGTGCACCGCGAAATTCACCCCCACGCCTGGCGGCGGCCACGCCTGGCCGTACATCTCCCAGCGGGGCAGGTCCACGTGCAGCCACTGGGGGGTGTCCGTCTGCCCGAGCGCAAGGTCGCCTCCCCCGCCGATCGCCAAGTAATCTCCCTGGAAGACGGCCTGGAGGATCGGGGTGACGACCGGGTTGTCGATCAGCGCGGCCCACTCGGGCAGGTGCACCATGAACAGGGGATATGTCCACCCCTATCCCAGGCTTCGTGGGGTTTTCGAATGGACCAGGAACTTGGGCCCAACCCTGGGATATACGATGGAGGGCGTCCATCCTCGATGGGGGTGCGTCCGAATAGCCCCCGTGGGGTGTACCCCAGAGCCTCCCCCTTCTTCTGAGCGGCCAAACTCTTCGGGCGGAACTCGGGGATTGGGAGAGAAAAACCGCCTGCGATGTGGTGCGTGAGCGAGGCGGAACCCAGCGAGTAGCGGCGCGGGCCGCGGTTCCCGGCATGCTCGGGGTCCCGCCGCAGCAGCTCCAGCATCACCCGCTCGCTCGCGGCGCGCAGCGCCCTGGCAGCCTCTGCGCCCAGCGCCCCGCGCACCACGGTCCAGCCAGCCCTGCGCATGGACTCCGCAGCCTCCCGCACGTAGCCGCTCGGGTTCCAGCTCGGCCTCACCTGGGGAAACAGAAAGGTACCGATGCCGCGGCTTCCGGGACCCCTCCCAGGGTGCGCTCTGACCAGTTTCACTCTGGGCCGAGTACGGCGGTGACGACGAGGGCCTCCCAGGAGGCCCCCAACAAGCGAAACGAGGTAGGGGTAGCGGTGTTGGCACCTTGTCCTCTCTGATCACCACCGAGCCGCCAGGCTCCTGACTGAGGTCCATGGTGCGCCCGCTGCGCAGGCTCAGCAGCACCCTATCGTGGCCCGGCGGGCAGTGCCGCGACCCTGACACGACCCCGGGCTCGCCTGCACCGCTTGCCTCGTCCTCGCTCCAGGCCCGCGCCTTCAGCCAGCACGAGTGGCGCAGCTCCGCAGAGGCGTGGCTCGGGAGCACGAAGGTCCACCCCGAGCACCTGAGGGGCAACATTGGAGGGGGAGGGGGCGGCCAGGGGGGCGAGGGCATCGAGCTGGAATCGGCGGTAGATTCGCCGATAGATCGGCGACGGGCCCAGGATAGCGAAACGGTCCTGGCTGAGGCGGGCGATCGGCGATCGGAACCCTATCTGTGAGGGATTGGGCGATTGGGGGGGTGGCTGCGTCCCCCCCTGATCCCGTTCTCCCCTAACGTGGCCCCGTAGCACCGCGGCTCTGCCTGGCAGAGGTGCCTGCACTCCAGGCCCGTCCGCGCCACCAGCGGCCGCGCCACGTCGTCGCCGCGGATGAGGGCGCCCCAGGCAAAGCAGTCGGATGCCCCGTCGCAGCAGTAGCCGTCCGACAGCAGCGCGCCCCACAGACACGGGCCTGGGGAGTACAGAAGGGTACCTCGAGCCTTCTTTGACGGGGAGCAACACACGTGGGGTGAAGAAACGGGCGCTTTTCGTGCAGTGTGTTCGAGGAACAAAAAAACTGCAAACACATGAACTTTCGAAGCTCCGCGCGGATTTCTTGGATCGGTAGCTGGGGCCCCTGGCGGCGCCTCTGGCGCTGCCCCTGGCGCGCTTCGTGTGCCAAGGAGGGGGGTCCAGCGCAGATCCAAGGAAATCCGCACGGAGCTCCAAAAGTTTGTGTTCATGTAGCTGCTTCTTCGTCGTCTTCCACTTGTGCCCGCGGTGGAATTTCAGGGAGGCCACCTTCCTGCAATCCTCGGTCCCCCCACGTTTATTTTTCCCTTGCCACCCGAGCACCGATACTGCTACTCCCTGGACATCTCCCGGGGTGCGCTCTGACCAGAAGTCTGAGGAGAATCCAGCCGTGACGACGAGGGCCCCCCAGGAGGCCCACAGAAGCCAAGATGGGGCCAGTACCTTCCCTAAGATCCGACGTTGCGACAAAAAAACAATATCGCGAACACAAATACGACTGGAGCCCTAGACCTCATCTTTCGGCGGCGTTGTTCTGGCCAAATCGATATGCGATGGTCCTGGGATCCAAAACAGGGCTACAAGCCAGGGTGTGGAAAAATGCATATGCAACTGGAGGAACAGAACATGGGGACTATGACCAATACTGTACATAGGCGGAAACGTCGGTGTCGATCTTGGTCACCGTCGACCTTGGTCAGCGTCGGTCTGTGGACCATCGCGAATCGGCGACTGTCAGCTTGGACGATAACAGAGATCGGCGCCGAGAATGATTAGAAATAGAGGAATCCTTCAGAAGCGGACCTAAGTTTGGAGGCCTCTTAAGATGTATCAGCAGGGAGATGATTAAGTTAGTTGGGGATAGGGATTTGCTAGCAGACGTATCAAACCGATTCACCCATATGGGTTATCCATAATGTAGCGACGGGGGCCCGAGTGAGGCTATGTCTTCATTGGGCTTTTGGGCTTAGGGGCTCTCGATGCGACAAGATCCGGCGATAAGCACAAGCAGGGGTATCGGTAATACTTGATCCTCCTCTGAGGGCCGGCATGCGCCGGGTGCCCGCAGCACCGCTGCGCTGTGCGGCCCGCCCCTGTGGAGGCAGCAAAGGCCGCACAAACGTACATTAGGAGACTACTGGGAGGTCTTCGTCCGAAGGATTTAGGAGGACTGAGCCCCATTAAGAGGACCTGCTACGCCAGATTGGGCCGCGGATTAAGCGGAATGAAGCCGGAGTAGGCGGGATTAAATTGGATTAGCAAGGGTCAAGCCGGATTAAGCCCGATTTCGGACCAGGGCAAAGTCAGAATTTGACCTCCCAGGAATTGCATCCGAATCAAAACAGCAATCACCAGCCAGAAGCTTCTTAAAGCGAACCTGGGCAAATTTCTGCTGTCAACGCTGGAGGGGCGAACGCGTTCAAAAAACAAGGCCAGCTTTCCGGCAGGTTGGTTAAGAAACACAGGCCCAGCTCTTCAGGAGGTGTCTGAATCGCTCGACCGTATGTATTTTCCAAGGTCCGACCGGAGTTCTTGGATCTGCGCTGGCCCCCCTCCCTGGCGCGCGGGGCGCGCCAGGGGCAGCGCCGGAATCGCCGCCAGAGGGGCCCAGCGCAGATCCAAGAGAGCCGCGCGGAGTTTCGCATGGCCGCGTGGTAATCGACCCCGAACCAAAAACACGCCTGCCCATGTTAGACATTTGATGGGCCCATTTTCCGGGGGATCGTCTACATAATGGATTTACCCCCAAAATTATTTTCTCGCCCAGTGTACGAAAAATACATGGATAATTGTTCCGCTGGTTTTCCAAAGATTCGAAGAACAAGTCAATTTTGGGGTGAACCAATTCTGTAGTCGATCCGCTACTCGGACCATCGGTAGGAGAGAGGGGGGAGGAGGAGGAGGAGGAGGAGGAGGAGGAGGAGGAGGAGGAGGAGGAGGAGGAGGAGGAGGAGGAGGAGGAGGCGGAGGAGCAGGAGGAGCAGGAGGAGGAGGAGGAGGAGAAGGAGGCGGAGGACCTCCTCATCCTCCCTTCTCCCCAGTCCTGCATATGGTAGTGGTGGTGGAAACTTTGGCCATCAACATTGATTAGCCGCTCTCTGGCCCTAGACTGTCCACCATGAGCTACGTCTGCATCGCAGAGCGGTGGGGGGGGGGGCCGGGAAGGGCATGCCACGCCTGGGCAAAAACCCGCCGCGATCGCAGCGGCGACCTCCAAAACCGACCCGGAGGTCTGGTTCGGGGTCAGAGATCACGCAATGATCAAGAGTGCGTGTTTATGGACGCACAAAGACATACTAGTACTATGTGTCCTCCTCTGAGGCGTGCGTCCGACCCGAACTCGTGGTACATCCATCTTGTAGCATGTCGTTTCCCGAGTGGTACGGCAAGAAACTGCCCGCCACGGGGCATGTACAATAAGATTTCTCAGCGCGCGGGTCGCCCCCGTGGCGGCGACTCTCACATACTATTACTACGTTTTAGAATCTAGAAGGACAAGACAACCAATGACATAGACATAAGCATGTGAACTCGGAGATCCGCGCGGACCTCCTAATTTCAAATGTAAGATGACAACTCATAAAATGACGACCGTAAGGGGAACGATTAGCAAAATAGTTTCCGAATCTTCGGCTTCAGCCTCACTTCGGATCCGTCTGGCCCGTCAACCGTCCAGGGGCCCGCCCGCGGAGAGAGGGGGGGAAACGATGGAAAAATAATTTCCCGGCCCGGAGCCGGTTTTCCTAATCATCCACGGCGCCGCGGCGTGAACACGACCCTCGGGAACTTCCTCATCATCCTGCATTCTGTATATGTCGTTGTCGTTGCCCTGTTTATAGCCCCCTTGGGGGCGACGCACACATATTATCAGTATGTTTGAGTGGCGCCGATGTTTTTTGCGTGGTTCCTGACACCGCGGGGATCGTTCAACCTTGAACGATCGGCCCCTCCGAGACTTCAGATTGTTCAACATGGACCGATTTCGGGGTCGCCGCCTGTCGACACAACTCGAACCTACCAAACACATGTCACATACACCCTCCCTGACAGCAGAGTGGTCCGGCGAATCGACGGGAATCGACGCGAATCAACGCTAGTCGACGTTACCCATTGTTTCCGTACCCATTGTTTCGATCCCCGCCATGCGACACGACGCGAACCTACCACATGCCGTTTCGTGGATCTACTGGCCCGGTTCAATGCAAACCCGGGTCAGTCGGGCTTTGCAGGAGCCTGCAAAATCCTGCAGGCTCCTGCAGGATCCTGCGCGCTAGCCCAGGCCAATGCAACCCTGGCTCTGCAGGATCCTATATGATCAAGCGCTCTGGCTGACCCCCGTTTGCACTGACCCCCGTCTCACGGCTCCCGAAGCGAACCTATACGGGGAAGTCAAAGGGTACCAATACTGCTACCCCCCGGGCCTCTCCCTGGGGTGCGCTCTGATCACGATTTCGAGGCGAATCCAGCGGTGGCGACGAGGGCCTCCCAGGAGGACGCCCCAAAGGGGAAAACGACGGAGGGGTAGCGGCAGCAGCACTTTCTCCTCCTCTGAGCCACGACGCGAACCGACCGTATGCCGCTATGGGCGCGAATTAATGGGGAGGCGAGACATGGTGGGGCAGCGAGGGCTGCAGAAAAGGGGGCCCTACAGGGCCCCTGAAAGATATTCCTGCGGGCCCCAAGAAGGGGCCTTCAGGGCTCGAAAAAAACACCGGTCTCCCCCTCCATTTCTCGCCCCCCACTAATTCGCGCACAGCCGTTCTTCCCCCTACGAGCTCCGGCGAAGCAGGCGGGGTCGCCGCCCCCGCCGGGCGCGGGGGCGCCCGGGCGCGACGCGCCCGCGGCTGGCGCGAGCGCCAGGAGCAGCCGCCGCCGCCGGCAACCCATCGTTCGGCATGGGAGGGGATCTCGGGCGCACGCTGGCAAGGATCACGTGCGACTCGAGCATTTATGCAGATCCACCACCTGTGAAACCGATGTCCTGGGACCGCAGCGGGCGGAGGATATGGGTATCACTCTCCCACTGGGCCAGACGGAAGCGGGCGACAGCCATCAAGATTGCATCGATGCGTCTCAACCGTTCTGTTTCAATATGTGCATGACTTCACCGCATGGCGAAACACTGATCCGAGCTCGGCCTGCAGCTGCGGCGGACTCGCCTGGGCTGGAGACTCGGCCTCCACGAGGCCAAAAGACACTGCAGGAAAATCCCAAACCCATACTGTGCTCTGGAGCCGCCTGAGGTGAAACCTAACCTATCAAACGATTGAGGTGGGCTCCCCTGAGGGCTTCGAAAGACCTCCTCCACCAGACGCTGCTTGCGCCGCCACGGGGCAAAGATCCCAAGGAACCTGCTGTGCCTGGCATGGTTGGTCATCGAGTTGCAGCGCAAGGGACAGCGCCTAAGCCATGACGAAGAACACGGGCCAGAACATGTAGCTGCTAGAGCCGCCCCCGTCGAAGGGAACTCGTGGCCGTGAATATGCACGATGATGAAGTGCGCCACGATCTCGAAGCAAACCATGGTGCAGCGGACCACTAGCAGCGGCAACCCAGCAAGACAACGTAGCATGCGATCCACGCTATCGGCCATGGCGAACGCGGGTATATGGATACGGAAATGGCTGCACCGTGAATTGCGCGGCGCACCTCGGCAAGCCGAGGCTTGAACCAAAATGGCTTGAGCCAAAATGGCTACGGGGGGCACGCGAGGGGAGGGAGGGAAGGGAGGGGGCAGACAGGAGGAGGAGGAAGTACAGGAAGGGAGGGAGAGGAGGAGGAGGTGCAGGAAGAGAGGGAGAGAAGGGAGGGAGAGGAGGAGGAAATGCAGGAAGGGAGCAAGCCGCGTCGGCGACATCAACAGGTTGGCTCCCTAGAGAAGCCGAGCAGAACGGCAACGCATTGGCAGATGACGAAAGCTAGACGGCGGATGCACGATTACAGAAGAACCGCACGACAGCTGGAAACGGGAGGGGCCAGCCAAGCAACCTGGCACGACGATCGGGAGCGCAGTGAAAGCGAGGATGACGCCAACGTGTCAGTCCCCGAGAAGCGTCATTTCTGGCGGCCCACTCAATACCTACCAGAACAGCTGTGTGACTCCTGGCTGGGAGGCACGCTCCTCTCGGTCTCCGTCGACTCCACCACCGTGGTGCTGAGCGAAGCTCCATCCAGGTCCTGGGGCGCCAAAGGAAGACCACGAGTGCCACCAGGTGTTTCAAGGAAACACCCAACCCCCCCAATGCCCTCAACATGGAGGAGGGACAGGGGGGAGAAGCAGTAAGGAGGAAGGAAGAGGAGACAGAGGCTGCGGACAAGGAGGGGGTGTTCAGAATGTTGTGGACGCAAGACATGACAAGCACTGTCGGAAGTTGGAGGGCGAGATCGAAGTGAACCCAACCGGGAAATCTGGCTTCGTCTTCATAGTTCGCGTCGAGCGTGCGGGCGAAGCGACGCTGCGCGATGGTGACGATGCGTCAGCCGAAGTATGGGCCAACACGGGCAACAAGGGTCTGCGCCGGTGAGTCTGGTGGGGCGTGGGGTGATCCTGGGATTGTCCTGTGGGCTATCCCGTGGTCGTCCCGCAATTGACTCGTGGATTGTCCCTGGGTTGTCGCCTGGGTTGGTCCCGTGCTTGTCCCGTGATTGTCGCGTGGGTTGTCCCGTGCTTGTCCCGTGGTTGTCCCGCGGTTCTCATGCGGGTTGTTCCGTTATTTTCCCGTATGTTATCATGCGGGTTGTCCCTCGGGTTGTCCCGTGGATTGTCCCGAAGGTTGTTCAGTGGTTATCCTGTGGCTGTCCTGTGGGTTGTCCCATGGGCTGTGTTGTGGTTGACCAGTATATTTATTCGTAACCATAGATAGCGACCCAAAGGGAAATTGCTATATGTAGTAGTCAGGTTGAAAGCTACTTAGAGAATCCTTAGGTTTTCGGTGGGTCGATATACATATATATATATATATATATATGCACACCACATAGACATCTGGACATGTATGTATAGAAATGAAAGGTATACGCACGTATAGACCGATCGGGATTTCGATGTGAGATCGAAGTGTCGCGCGGGCAGGCGAGGCAGCTGCGCGATTGCAATGATGGGTTCGCCAAGGCCACAGCAAACGTCGGGCACCAAGACTCTAGGTGCCCACGGGACTGCCCCGCGGGTTGTCCCGTGGTTGTCCCGCTGTGCCCCCAAGGGGTGTCCCGTGCTCTTGTCCCGCGGTTGCCCCTTGGGTTGTCGCGTGGGCTGTCCTGCGGGCTGTCCAGTGGGTTGTCCCGTGGTTGTCCCGCGGGTTGTCCCGCGGTTGTCCCGCGAGTTGTCCCGTGGCCGTCCCGTGGTTACCCAGTGGGATATCCAAATCGAAATGCGAATGTATGTGCAAACAACAGCAGGGCGAATTGCAAATCAAAGTGCAAACCGAAATGAAACTCCAAATGCAAATCGATTTGCAATAGGTACCGGATCGAAGCAACACATCGATCGATGTGAAAACCGAAATTCACATCGAACAACACATCGAACTAAGTAGACATGCGGGCCCAAATGCAAGAAACATTGCAATCAATATGTAAAACCACATCGCAAACACAACGTAATCGAATCGAACATCGGAGTGGACATCGGAATGCAAATCAACATGTAGACCTAACTGACAACCTTAATGCAATTAACATTTCAAACAAACGTTATCTGAATGCAAATCAAACTGCAATCATAGTGTACATCAAAAGGTCAATATAATTGCTGTCGGGGAAAAAACAATCGAAATGCAAGTCGAACTGCCAATTCAATTGCGATCGAGATGCAAGACGAAATCCACATCTACATACAAATCAAACTACACCGTGGAAATTCAAATAGAAAAGAAAACGAACTCAACACCGAAATGAAACTCGAAATGAAAATCGACGTGTAATGGACAGCAACTATGGGTATCAATCGATCTGCAAATTGAAGTGCAGATCGAATTGCAAGTTGAAATGCAAGACTAAAGGCAACTGTCACTGCAAACGAAATGCAAAACCACTCGTAAACGAGTAGACAATCGAAAAACACATCGGAATGGAACGCTGAATGGACACCGAAGTGCAAATCGAGATGCGGATCGAGCTGCAAATGAGAACGCCAACAAGTATTAAAACCAAACGAACATCGGACTGCAACTCGAAATACCATCGTAATGCAAATCAAATTCAAATCAAATGCAACTCATCTTACAATCGAATGAAAATCGAAACGAAAGTCGACATGCTAATTCAAGTGCGACCGAGATGCACGTCGAATTGCACATCCAAGTGCAAATCGAAGTGCAATCGGCATGTACGCCGAAAGGTAACAACGATTGCAAGTGTCTCCCCGACCGCCAACCTCCGTATCACCAGGTGGGTGGTATGCGCCGTGTCATTCCACTCTCTGGTGAACGGTGGACTGCACTGGAAGGCGGGTTCCTTGGGATGACTGCCGCGGCGCTGCGCGACAATCCCCAAAGACGACAACTCTGCAGAGGCGCCGCCGTCCTCCCTCATCGTCCTCCTCCCTCCTGCCTACTCCGGATTTCAAAATAAACATGCGGGGTCACAACCCTCCCAAACAAGCAATTTCATACCTCCCCCCCAGACCAGCCAAGAAAGGGCGGCCTTTTGCCTAGACCCCCCTGAACCCAGCAAGACAGCTCAAATCAGACCTCCGCTCCAAATCAGACCCCCCCACCTTTATTGTGAGCGCCAGAGTATCCTCGGGCGGGGACCCTATGGGCAGTGTGGGAGGACCCCAGGGCGCACCGTGGCCGGTGGACACAAGTCTCGAGAGCTCAAGCGTTGCCACCAAACGCCTTGCTGCCTCGAGCAGACGCATCTCGCCTTCGTTCCGCCAAACGCTATCAAACAGCCTTGTCATCTGTCCCCGCCACCCCCTCATTACGAGAATCTCGATGTGGCAGCCCCTCGCTCGTTCTGCTGAAGGCGGCGCGCTCCACCCATTCTGCGCGGGAAAAGCAATCCCAACGCATTGAGGCCAGAGGAAGCGAAGGTGCCGAACGATGACGACCAAGGTCACAAACCGATGTGCTGCGCGGGTATATTGGTGAGCTCCGTCTGTGCAAATCGCCTTGCTCACGTTCTCTCTGGCACGATCGATGCTTACCGCTGTAAAAGAACTATTCCCCTATCACAAATAGTTACCCTGGGCATTTTACCAACTTCGGCGTCCTCACGGCCAGCGCCCGCGTCCGCGCTGGAGTGGCTGTCGCTCCCGCCTTGCTGGGGTGGTCAAGCGGAACGGTTTATGAGCCAAGGTGCGGTCACATGCCCGTTCGGCCCATGGAATACAATGGCAAGCTGGGCTGGCAAGCGCGCGAACGGTAAGCATGTACATGTCAACGCTGGCATACAAGACCACGCGCTCACAATAATGCCAATGCCCGCGCATCCATAACATTGCACTCCTGTGCATGCCTGCACGCGCAAGTACACGGTCCCGCAACATCGATCGCCATCAATCCCGACGATGACCCCCATACCGCCTCTTCTCTCCTTCTCTCAATGTCCTCCCCCGCCCCTCGCCTCCACCCGCCCCCCTGCAGAGAGGAGAGGGGCACGGGAATTGCCACAACCCCCGAGTAACCATGCGGACCCTGCCACTGGAGCCCCTTCGGTGGAGCTCCCTATGTGGCCACGAAGCGTGTCAGGGGTGAGCCACAATGGACCAGCGTAAACATGCGGACCTTGCCGCAGGGACCTTCGGCGGAGCTCCCAATGGGGTATCGACGCGCGTGAGAGGTATGGCGAAACTGTATGTGAATAGTGATGATGATGATGGTGGTGATGATGATGGTGATGATGATAATGATAATGATGATGATGATGAAGATGATGATGATGATGATGATGATGATGATGATGATTCGCTCGTTCCTCAGTGGTCTGGACGAGTTAAAAGAGAACGCACCTCCCTCCTCTTCTTCGCGATGGCCCGAGCCCTCGCAGCGAGAAGGGTCGAGAGAGCCTCTTGTCCCCATCTCTTGTGGGCTCTGAGGAAATTGAACGCTGAAATTGCAAGGTCATGCGCGAGCAGGGCAGATCCGAGAGCGACACCCTCCAGAGAAGGCCGAGGGCAGAGCAGCAGTCGACTTTCGGGCGACCACGCGCAAAAATCTTCCGGATGACCAGGAAGGAGACGGGGAAGCTGGGCGAGCAGCAGCGGGCACGATAAATAATGCAAGACACGATCGCCCCCCATCGCTTTGCATCCAAGTCGGCACACCTGGCATCCTTGATTATAACGGGCGGAAGAGATATATCTAAGATAGGCGGTACAAACGAAGGGAACAATATTTCCAACAGTATTTGAATAATGGAGAACTCTGTCAGAATGCCAAACCTGTATGCCGGCCCAAAACTTCCCAAGCCTAGGGATAAGAGCGACCGAAACTGGAGGCCTCCTCAGGGGGTCACGAAGCCCAAGCATCTCGTGGATCTGCTTCTGGAGAAGGGACATGTCGGGGTCAGAAGGGATCTGCGGGATGGCCTGAAAGCGTTCGAACAAAGTGCACAGGGAACCCGCGATGGACTCATGAACCTAATCGGCCCTTC